TTTCTGTGACTGGTCCATTCAGACCTTTGATACTACTTTTAGATTCACTTAATTTCTTTAAATAAGCCTTTATTGTTTTTTTGTTCAAACCACTGTTGCCTCTTACCTGGGCTCCCTGCTTCCCCCCTATTCTCAAACAGCAGCTTCTTTCTCACTCTCCTCTCTTTTTCTAGAACATCATTTCCCTGCATATAATCCTCCAATTATTTCCCATTACATCTAGACTAAAATTCATATTTTTTGTCAAGGTCCACTAGGCATACAAAGTCTTAATCCACTATTTCTCCTGGCATCCCTTTCTCTCTGCTGCAGCCATCGCCATGTCCTTCTGTCCTTTTGCCTGCACTCGGGCGTATTGCCATCTGAGGAACTCGGCATGGAAGCCTCTCCTCCATCCTCACATGGCTCCCTCTCGATGTCACTTAGGAGAGCAGCTGTCTTTAACCACCCTGACTTTCTTACCTGTTCATGTGTTGTCTGCCCCGAGGCTCCTCTGGAATGTAAGGACCTAAGTTACAGGTAGGGGCTTGACTTGTATAACACTGTTTGTCCTATATCTGGAATGGTGCCCAATAGACATCTAACCACTTCAGTGCACCTAAAACCAATAAAGTTTCTCCCAATTTTCCTATATCTTTTATGGTTTCATCAAATGCTATCTTTTGGTTTATCATCTAAAATAAACATTACTTTCAGATCTTAGAGTAGTAGTTATTCAGAATTAAAGACATAAGAACCACAAAAACCTAAAAGAGGTTTGATGTCCAGTGACAATCAATGGTTACTTTAATTTGGGATAAGAATATTTAATGTTAAAATGCCTTAACTACAAAATGACATCCTAATCCTATATAATAAAAGGCTAATACAGTGGGACCTTGACTTACGAGTTTAATTCGTTCCGTGATGGAGCTCGTAACTCAAATTACTCGTATGTCAAATCAAAAGTGAACAAGTGAGACACGTGATGCTGGGCTGATGTTGTGGCGTTCACTGTGACGTTCGCTGTGCCAACTAGCGGTGGGGTATCTGAAGCTGGCTCATAACCCGAATTTTAGCTCGCAACTCAAAGCAAAAAATCGGCCGAGAGACGGCTCCTATCTCAAAAAACTCGTTAGTCGGGACACTAGTAAGTCAAGGCCCCACTGTATGCAAATTGTCCCCTTGACTAGGAGTTCCACAGGAGTTCCACCAGGGGGCAGGGCCTGCCTGCCAACTGTGCACCCATGCCCCCTTACACCCTACCCCCGCAGGGTGGGCCGGCCTGACCCCACCAGTGCAGGAATTCATGCACTGGGCCTCTAGTTAAGTTATAAGAAAGAATACTAGCTGAATTCTACAGGGAGGTACAATGCATCCACTTTTATCTGTGTCCCCAGAATAAAGCATTATTATGGGATTGTATATGGTTTCACTTTAAAAGATGGCCAGCCATAAAGGATGGGTAAATGAATGGTGGTCCAACCATTTGATGGTACACTGAATAGTTATTAGAGGGCATGCAGTTGGATGGAAATGCATCCTGGAGCACTCTCCAGGTGTCAAACACAATTCCCAGAGCTATAGGTCATTACTTCTCTTTATAACAAAATGTTACAAAGCAGCGCATAAAGAGTGACCTCCTTTTCACAGAACAAACAAAATGTGTTTATGTGCATACATAAAGTTCAACACCAAAATATTAATATAAGTTCTTGATATTCTGAGTATAAGTGAGTGACTTTTCTGGATTTTCTAAATCTTTTACATCAAATACTTATTAATATTGCCATACAAAAAAAAGCAAAAAAGAGGGTTTAAAATAGCTACTGGAAAGAGGAAAGATCTGTTGCTCAGAGGTTTTTCCACATAATATTGCCAATTCCTTCCCTACTCACTTCTTAGGGGTAGGGGGAGCAAGGGGTCATCTGAGAAAGCACCTTTAGCCAGGAAATGAGCAAAGCTCAGAAGGTCAGAACATAAAAGGCTGTATAAAAGGTGATGAGTAATAAATTGGATAACAGAATCTTAAGTGTTTGTGTGTGTGTGTGTTACTGATACTACCATCAGTTATATTATATATACTAGTACTGTTAGAAAAAGGCAAGGTAGTAGAAAATTATTGTTAAGTCTATCTGAAATCTATACTAGGTTCTTGGAATGTCTCTTTGAAATGACTTGAAGAAATCATGTTCTTGTATTTCAGAGCATCATTCATGTATGATTTTGTATAAGTAACCAAATAATTCTCCTTTGTAGAAAAGCTGAAATAAGTAGGTATTTCTTGGTTTCCAGGGAAATTGATATAAAACTGTCTGAAATAAAGACATCAAAAGAAAACTTTCAATGTGCTTGTCTTTATATTTAGTGTTCTGACGACTTGTTTCTATGGAAACTTAATAGCAAATGCTGAAATTTGAGGTTTCTTATATCATTTTATTGAATTTCCCCGAAAAAATAAAAACAAATTGAAATGAAATTTTAACTATCATGTTAAACATAAAAAGGTAAATTCTGTACTCATGAACTCTATTTTTTCAACTCTTCTGATTTAACACTCCTGATCATAGTCCTATGCTTAATCCTTGTTACCTTACCTGCTCTCTTACCAGTTTCTCTGCAAGTCCCTCTATATGAGGCATTCTTGGCTTCAATTTGAAGTCACCAGAACGAACTCTTTAAAATATATCAACTCGTTTACCTGGTAAATTCATGCTATTTCATGACTTCTACTCTTTTATTCTTATTCATCATAAGGAATTTAGAAATATAGAATGGAGCCCTGGCCGGGTAGCTCAGTTGGTTAGAGTGTCATCCCAATACACCACGGTTCTGGGTTCGATCTCCATCAGGGTACATACAAGAATCAACCAATGAATGCATAAATAAGTGGAACAACAAATCAATATCTTTGTCTCTCTGTCTCTTCCTTTCTCTCTAACATCAATACATTTTTAAAAAGAAATATAGAATGGAGAGGTAAATGTTGCTTCTGAGTTTGTACAATAATGTTGATGGAAGAGGGCATAAATGGTGATGGAAAAAATAAAACAGTAATTTCGATGGAAAAATCAAGACTGGAGTAAGTTAAGATAGCCCCACTCACTCTATGTAGAAATTATAAAATATAAGCTGCATTCTAAAGAGGTTTTTAAGCACAAGAACTGAACTTGGTGTATCTATCACCTCCATGTCAGCTTTTCTGTCCAGTAGCTGTAGCTGTGTTACACAGTCATTTCAGATCTCTTTTTTGAAATATATTTTTTATTTCAGAGAAGGGAGAGGGACAGAGAGCCTCCTGCATCAAGCCCGCAACCTGGGCTTGTGCCCTGACTGGGAATCAAACCGTGACCTCTTGGTTCATAGGCCGATGCTCAACCACTGAGCCACCACGGCCCGGCTCATTTCAGATCTCTTAAGTCTTGCTTTCTTTATTGGTAATATAGGGAGAACATATGCATGGGTCTTATTTGCAGTTAGCAGGGGCAAATGAGATATACATGAAAATGTATTGTAAATCTTAAAAGAATATATAAAGGTCCTATTTTGGTCTCTCACTAACACTACCCATCTACTAACTGGTTCATAAAATCACTCACAGGCTTACCTTACAGCACTTAAGAGCAAAGTTTTCACAAGTACTTACTTGCTTTGTGTTTAAAGGTACAATTAATTCACATAATTTGTTCCTTTTTTCCCCACATTATTTGAATATTCTTAAAAGGAAGTACTTCCCAGTTACAAAGCCAAATGTCCACAGGCTTATTATTCTAACTTTTAAATAAATTGAAAGCTCAACTAAAGTTTGAATAGAGTAAGAACTATAAAACATTTTCTCTATGAAATCAAATAACCTCTGGCATTTACATGAAACAAATGGGCCTTTAACATCTCATAACTCATTGTTTTCTACTTCAAAGAACAGTCTTTATGAGCCATGTTGCTACCCAGAATTATTTTAAAACAGTCATTTCCTCTCTTCTCCCTCCGCCCTACCCAGCTGTTAGGTCTTGACAACTTTTACTCAACGTTCTCCAAGGTGAACCGGGTCCTACGGGCAGGAGGGGAGAGGAAGGAGAGCGAGCCATGGAGACAAACATTGCTGTGCAGGGCCTGGCATCTTAGCTCCCAGACCTTCCTATTACACATGAAAGTCTACATTTATGTTTGTTAGTTTTTTCTCTTTTGAAACGTTGACCCACAGTCTCATGAACCACCCCATCTCTCCCTTAGAGCAGACAACGTGAGAGTAAAGTCTGTTAAGTCAGTGGAGTAAGACAAGGCATATTTGCATCCAAGTGGGAATTTTAGAGTAATCAGACTTTAACATTGGGGGGCGAGGGGGGGGCGCATATTCTCAGTTAACATTCCACATCCTTCAGGTCTTTTAAGTTCCCTCTCCCACATTCTCTTGCCTTCTGTATTCAAACGATAGTTGGAAGAAATAAAGCAACTGAAAACTGCGTGCTTAAAGCACACGGACCCTCCTTTGCCGGTCTCCGTCCTGAACTTGAATAACCCCCCCTGGAATGTCTGCGTCTGACCTGCCCCGGGCAGCAACCACCTCCAGGGGTGGGAGGCCAGGCTGCCAGCCGGCCCCGGCCCGGCCCCTTCACCTGGGCACCGTCTGGGCAGGTGAAGACGGGGGAGATCGGACGGATGCTCCGAAGTGGCGGTGGGAGAACCTATACCCGAAAGTCCCTACAAAGTCCCACCAGACATTCAATAAAGCCATGACCAGGCCGGACGGAGGGCGGAAGGGTCTCGGGCTGGGCGGGCGGAGAAGGGACCTGAGGGAAGAACTGGGTGCCGGGGGTGGAGAGGGACACTGGCCCGCAGGACCGGGAAAGGGTAAGGGGCGGGGACGCCAGGCGGAGCCAGCCTTCCTCCCGGTGCCAGCCCGGGGAGAGCCGGCTCCGGGCAGGAAGGGGCCCGAGGCGGTGGCTCCTTCCCGGGGGACCCCTGGGCGCAACGGAGGCCAGAGGTACCCCGAGAGCCCCCGCCGCCCACCGCCTCCTTACCGTCCGGCATCTCCCGGTCGCTGATGTGCTGCAGATGGTGGCCCTCGCCGGTGCCGAAATCCAACTCTGCGGGCAAACGGGGCAGCCGGCGAAGGCGCGACCGCCACCGCGCCCCCAGCGGCCGCCTCATAGACCTCAGACTGGCCGTCCGGCTCCGC